CTACATTAGTTTTATTCTGATAGTTAGATTGCTAAAAATAGGAGCAACTAAAATGTAAGATGCAGATTCTGATCTTCCAAAAAAGAATCTACACATTTCTCTTCAAATTCCATGTTGTCTGGAACTATGGATGACCCTTTTGACACTTAGTGTATTTTAATTTTATCATCATCTTTTTGTAGTGTGTAATCATTTATGAGCCATGTGCCAGCCACTACTCTGAAGAAGTCAAAAGTTGAGACCCTAACCCTAACTTAAAGTGTAAACTGCTGATAAAATGCTTAATTCCTGGTTTACCTATGGCCACCCAGATCAGTTGTACAGGGTGGATTAATACAACCTTCACAATTTCTTTAGGAACGTCTTGTCATTAAATTTGTGGAATTAATTTTTGTTATCAGTGGTCATGTTGCCTTATGGGACATTGCGATAAAAATGTGTACTAATTTTGATTAGTTACCTCATTGCTACTTAATTTCGTGGGTACTTATTTTCACGATTTTGGCAATACAGTATTTCACAGGGTTTTATTTTCTCAATTTAATTTAAATATAGAAAAAGTGAAAGAGGGCATTAAATTTTGCAGCTTAAGTGTTTTACTTTTAAAGTTTTGTGGATAAACTGGAACAAGCAAAATGCATTTAATTTTTTTTGTACAAATCAAGTGATTCAGATGAACGTTATAGCTAAATTCCCTACTTGATATGTGAAATCTTTGCACTGAATTTAATGATATTTCACAACAGAAGATATAGAACAGAGTTTAAAGTAAAATCAGTTAATACTATGTTGGTAGTTGTCGACACATATCCTGTATTAAGTATATGTTGTTTTTTTAAATTAATCATCTTTTCCCTCTGATTTGAAATTTCTGTATGGGTATTCAATTTTGTGAGGATTATTATTTACAAAAAACATGAAATTGAAGACCAATGGTGAATGAATTGACAGTGGGTAATCTAATCCTCATGGCTGTTCCTTTTTCCTGTTCTTCTTATCTCACATTCCTTCTGTTAGTGGTGTGGTATTTTGTTAAAGAAAGATAAGAACTACTACAAGATGTACATATATATTTCAACTCTAGTGGGACAAATGTTCTGCATAACAAAACAAGGCGAGTTAAAAAAAGAGATGTAAAACTGTCCTTCCCAATCATTTGTTAAACTAATCACATGGTTACTACCATGGCCACATGTCATGTCATAACTCACCATTTCACCCCTGATGATGATGATGTTAGTGATGAGATATAAAAAATTTTGTTCCAATTTTTCAGTCTGTTCTTGAAATCCTATGATCTGATCACAGCTATCCAATTGAAACCTTTTTGAGAGTACTTTCTAAATGTGTTTTGACATGGTATTCAGGAGTTAATTTTAGAAGCAATTGAGTAATAACCATTATTAATGATTAATAATATTCACGATAAGGTGATTCTCCATATTAAAATTTTTGACTTTGGGTTAAATGCATTCAGACTACCTGTGTAGACTGCATTTAAGATGGGTAAAGGTTAACAACTTTTTCACAGGTTTATGTAATTATTCCTATAATGTGCTGCTTTGAAAAGAAATCAACTACATGGATCGCTTTTAACACTGATAGCAGCACTGATAGCCTTGTGTCTCAAATATTGTTGTCAGCTTCTTAAACCTGTTTTTTGGATACCTAATTGGCGGTTAATTTTTTTTGATAACCTACATATCAAGCCTCACTGGTGGGACCCTCGCTTGGATAAAGGACCATTTTGTAGAAAATCATGGAAGAAAATCATGGTGTCTGTTTAATTCAGTTACTGAGTGGTAATATTGATGATTCCCTTATTAAGGTGTAACAAGGAATAAGGAAAATCAAATCATCATTCAGGGCTGTTACCAAGATTTCAAGTTGCAGGGTAAATAGGAGTAGCCAGGGAATCAAACAGCTAAGGATTTCTTTTGGTTCTATTTTTCTTCCATTTTCCTATGAAAGTAGCTTGGGGCCATGTTCATGGTAGCCGGGGGAAATCCCCGGCCCCTGCCTCTTAGTGACAGCCCTGATCAGAAAAATGATCACTCAACTTGGTGATGATGATCAGTAATTCATTATAAAGTTATTACATTTCATTGATATTGTTTTTTTTTTAAATATTATTTTGCCCAAGACTTTTTCAAAGCGAATTAAATAATGGCTGAATGACTGTCTACGGTTTTATATGTAGAAAAATCTATTGTTGTTTAAACCTCCTGGGAAAATTATTGTAATAATCAGGGATAACATGACAGTATCACTTTTTGAATTGGCTGAGGAAGGGAAAATTACTTTTGGTGTGAACAATTAAGGGCATGTACTACCATGGATATGTATCTTTGTTGTTAAAATAATCTCAACTAAAATACTTTCAGTGCATATTTAAAAGGTACTCAAATGAGCTTAACACTGATAAAAAAAGTTTTTAAAAAATACAGTCATAAAAAAATAATAAAAATCCAGTAATATAAAAAATTAACGCACATTGTAGAAATTTGTTAATACCAAGAGTGAAGCTACTTCCTGCCATAGAGTCTCATCATCTGTTTTGTTAATATGAGTTATAGAATTTTATTCTCAAATTCATTTAATTTTCCTGAATATTTTCATCATCAAGGAAGCCAATGGTATCCTTTTTATTTTTTTTAGTTTTATTTTGATAAATTATCAAGATGTCTCATGTGAAGTTGCCAAGAGTAACCCCCGATTTTTGCACTAAGCAATAATCTGGGGTAATATGCCTTGGAATGTTTTCTTTACCAAGTGAAAACTTGATCTTGGAAACATATCTTAAAGGATTACATCTTGGTCAGCAGTTCTCTTTTTTTTTCACCCAATTAGAATTTTAGCCGGAAAAACTTTTAAGGACATCTAAATGTTCCTTACAGGATGCTGAATGCTTTCACATCATTTTTTGGGTGAAAGAGACAAGAATGAGACTTCAGTCAATGGAGAGAAGTTTCAGCTCAGAGGCTTTCAATTTCTTTTTTGATAGAATGTTTCTGATTAAGATTAAAAGTTGTTTGGACACAAAACATTTAAAAGAATGCAAATGCCTTATGCCATCAGTCATTTTATATTGATTTTAAACATTTGAAAAAAAGAAAGCATGAGGTTTTAATCAATAATAAATGACCTCAAACTTGTGGTAATAGTAAGACTGTTCCCATTTCTGACTTTTTATTTATTAACTATTAACACAGTACACAATTCGAGTCTCTAAAGAGGGCAGCATTCCTCAACTTTGAATATTGACTTTCAAATTTAACACTGAACGAATACTCTGACAAGATCAAAATAGATAGCAAAGCATTTAATGATAGCCACACTGTCTGATTGGTTTTTGTTTCCTTTTCTGAAATGAAAGGTTTAAAAGCATCTTAGTGAAAATAATTTTAAAACAAATTTTCCTTAATTGGTTTCTAGACAATATCACAAGGAATAATAATACCGGTAAATCATAATTTTTTTGCAATTTTAATCACTTCAATTAAAACTGTTTCTTTATTGTTCAGTACTTTTATTATTTAGAAGCTTTCAAGAATCAAGCATCAAACATGTCACATCACATGGCATCCTCAGAAATAGCTTTACCATTGTTGCTGAGAGAAGAGGACAAAAAAACTCTTAGTTTGATATCAATCTACAATAGCTCCCAAGACTTTGGTCTCTGTGCATTTGTCATAATTCACTTGACATTTATTTTCAAGCCTGAATAATTTTATAATCCTATGTTGAGTCAAAGTGCATGCCACGGATAAATTGCAAGATGATCACTGTTTGATATTACCTTCTTCTGTTCTAGACACAGCCACTACTGTCAGTGACTCTGAAGCAAAAGGCCATGGGCGTAGGCCAAGAAGGCGAACCACAGGAGGGTCAGATATGGGGGACGATGTGGAGACGGCAAAGAGGTCACAACAAGAGCAGGGTCATTCCAGCGAGCAGGACACTCATGCTACGCAGACACTGTCACGGCAGGAGATTATCTCCATGGTGAAGAAACGGTTTGGGTTGAAACCTGGTGGAGAGATTGAAAAAAAACCAAATGGAATCCAAGAGGATACACCAGTAAGAATTTAGTTATTTTCTGTAGTAACTAAATCTTTCATTTTTGGTGCCACTGGAAAAATGAGAGCAGCAGAAATATTCTGTTTTACTCATTACCATAAAATATTGTTTTGTCTTTTAGACAAGACTCTACTATAACATCGCCTCACTTTATTCAATGTTTTGGTAGCATATTTACTAGAAAGTAATATTATTTTGAACCCTAACCAAATATACCATGGGTGGCTTGAAAATAGGATCAGTATTAAAGAAGGAAAGAAGGCAGCAGTCTCTCCCGCTAGATGGGTTTTCCTTAAAGCTGGCTAAATAAATATTTGCTAGATTTTAGGACTTAAGGCATTATGTTTTTTTATGTGATGGGCTTGAGCTTTTTTTCTATGATAGTCCTTATGGTCAAATTAAATGTAACAGTAGGAGAATTTTGTCTGCTTACAACTAAACAAAAACTATAACTTAGAATTTAAAATGCAGTACACTCTAGGTTGCCTTAAAAAGCAAGTACAAACATTTTCTCTTCCTTACTCTTTTGAAGTATAGTTTTCTCAATCATTACCATTGCACTTGAATTTTAATCTTGTCCTAGAAATGTAGCCCCAACCTTGTCAACATTATTTTAGCTGTTATAAGTAAAATGCAGAAAATGTTTAGGTTTAGGTTCAAGGTACAAATACTACTGGTTAATAAATAAAGTAGGTGATTTATTATTAAGAACTTGCTCTTGTAATTTTATTATGTTAAAGAGGAGATCAGTATTTCTGATCCATTTGTTGACATAAGACAAAAATCTGTGAATGAAATTTATCCGTTTAATTCTCAGGTTAAGTTACCTCACTGTGGCTACCAGTATTATTGTTCCTGATTCCTAGCTTTTGCCAATTTGGGTTACCCTTCTTTAAAAATAGTGTGGAACCTAGAAATCTCAATTTTTTTAACGCAGGTTTTTTTATTACAGAACTGAATTTAAACAATAGGAGAAGATAAACCAGCACCACAGGAAAGAACTAGCCCTCACATATAAACCACATATTGAGATTTATGTCCAAGGGTCAGGAAGGAAGCTCCACAAAAAAAAATTTAAAAATTGAAAATTTGAGAACATGATCACAAATTAGTGAATCGCTGCTTGAAAGTTATAATCCTCCCTTATCTTGATTTTTTACTTCAGAGTGTCTTAGTTTTGCATGGAGTTAATAATATTTTAATCCCCTTTTTTATTTTGACTGATGAAAGTAATCTCTTGCATGTGAACACCTTCTATGGATTTCACAGTGGTAAATAGCTGCCCTGAACGGGCCATTCCATGGTGTGATAAGCTCTGCACTGCATGGGAAGGTATAAGTTAGTGATGGTGACATGCAAATTTCTACATTTCAATTTGAAATCTGCAAAGGCTGCTGAAACAGTTGACTATTTGACTTCTCTGTAATGGCATATAGAGTAACAATACAGATGTATAAGATTAGGGTACGTTCTTTGCGTAAGTTGTATTATTATTAACTCAAGATTGTTGAATGAGCATTTATCTGTGGACTAGATTTCACTACTGACAAAAAGCTGTTTGACAATGAAATTCTGTTTGGGGTTGATTTGAACTTAAAAGGGTAATGCTTAACTTGAATTTTTCTCATTTGTTGATTTGCAGACATTAGGAAAAGAAATAATCATCTTTCAGCAGTGCAAAAGAGTTGATCACAAAGCTTTTTCCATAATGTTCTGTCTAGGACCAGGAAAGAAATGTTTCAGAGTCTTCAAATAATAATTATTTAAGGTCTACTTAAGTTGTCTCTTTCTCTGGTTGACAGAATAATTTATTGTAACCCTATATTCACAGTCTTTGCTGATAAACATTTATACGTTAACATGTTTTCTTCACTTTCTGGTTGCTGGCACCTTTTACTGTATGTTGTAATAGATGCCATGCTGCCTCAGGTGAAATCTGTCAGAACTGATTCCTCTGAATGTTTTTGTATCAATTTCTCTTTTTTAAAGAACTTTTGTTCCTGTCATGTTTACCTTTGAGTTATCACTTTTTATTTTTTCTTTTTGATATTTCCCCAGCCAGCTATTCCACCACGTCCTGTGACATCATCTCCCAAACAGCAAAGATATGAGCTGTTGTTGGACAAACCAGGGACCTACCCAACAATGCCACGAAAAGAAGAGAACCATGTACCACACTCTAACTCAACTCCAGGTAATAAATGTTAATGTTCAATGGTGTACAGAAAAAAACAAGATAAAACATGCCTCCTTGCCAAACATCAGCATGTTAGTACAAATTGGCAGTGAGATACTGTGATAATTTAATGTCTGTATGTAATATTTACTTTGTTATGCTCTGATGACTTCATCCCATTCCTTCTAAAATTGACCTGGATCACAATGTTTATAACAAGCACTTTCTGCAATCATTTCCATGATTAAAGTAGGGAAGGGGTCGAGATGGGTGTCAACTCCAGTCTCACATTCACTCAAACTATGAAATGGCATATTACATGAAGTTAAGTGAAATTCAACGCAGTTAACACCAAGGAGGACAGTCTCATTTGTTGGTCAGGAGGCAGTGTGGTGGTGTAAGATCTGTCAGCCTCACTTGCATTAGCTAGGGGCTAGCTTTGCCAAAAGTAGAAACCCCTGAACATCCCAGACTCCCTCTTCGACTTAGCGACGCAGTTGTCAACTTTTCCGTGTCAAGTGCATTGATAATGATGTCAAATGATTCACTCAGTCTTATTTACAACCAGTTATTCAACATAGCTCTCTTTTTAATTATTTTTTACCATTTTTTTCCAGGGGTCGTATATTTACAGTATGGGGATGAGATCAAACGTGCTATGTTACCAGCAGGCCTGCAAGACATGTCACAAGTACAAACATTGTTTGCGCAAACATTCCCAGACAAGGTTAAGAGAAGTGGAGACAACCGTAAAACGATCTACATCAAGGACAATTCCTGTGGAGTCTTTTATGAACTGGACAGTGTTGGGTAATTATCTGTTCCCTTGTACCTTTTTTACAGTTAAGCCAAGTCAAGCGTACTCCCCAGGATTCCATTGATGAATTTATTGTTTATTTGAATGATAAATCCATCATTCATTCATTGCCGCAACCAATCAAATTTAAATGCGCATTCCTGCATGTGTAATAAGCAGTGAATTTTTTGCTTTAACGTGTCTGTATTCTGTCTGATTGAAAAATCTTTGAATGGATAAAACTGCTTTGAGGACATTTACAAGAAAATGGGCGGTGGTCATGCTCATAGTAGCCAGGGGGAATCCCCAGTGCCTGGCCCTTAGTGACGGCCCTGTTCCTTACTCTATAGCATGATTCACACAGGTCTTGAAAAGTCCTTGAAAAAGCATCATGTCCTTGAAAAGTCCTTGAAAAATGAAAAATTGTGCGATATCCTTGAATATTTTTCAAAGCGCCTTGAATAAAAATAATGTTTGTTAAAAATATAATGTTTTGTGCAAAGGAATGATTGAATGCACAGCAATACACAAATTTTCTTGGTGACCATGCATCAGGAAAAGTGTTTTCTTCCCAGCATACTTCATTTTCTGTTATTTGAAGTACCTTAGGAACCATGCCTTAATGAAGGAAGGTATTACAATAAGCAAAACCCCCTCCACCTTAAAGGTCTTTACTTCATGTTATTGGGGAAAAGAAGTCCTTGAAAAAATAATGTTAGTCCTTGAAAAGTCCTTGAACCATGTACACGAACACTTTCTGTACTTAGTAATGACTTCAGCCAAGAATTTCAAGACCTAAAACAGTAATATCATAGTGGTATAGCCTCTCTAAAGCTTTGTCTTTGTCTTTCTGTAGTACTATCTGCCTTGTTCCTCTTTTTTTCAGTGACTTGTCAAACAAATCACATCTTAAGGTCCTGGAGTCCCGACCATTCCAGAATGGCCCAGTCTCACATCCTGTAAGCAGCCCCACAGCGGTCCACACAGGTGCTCAAGTAACAAGCACACCCCTCCCCAACCACAGTTTTGTCCCCCCTGCTAATGCTATTCACAGTGGTGGTGGCAACATCAAGTATAGTCGCACAACCACAGTAACACGACAATCTAGTGGAGGCCCAAGAATAACGACGGTAACAAGGGTGGTAAATAATGGTGAAAAAGAAAATTCGGCAACACACACTACAGCATCCGATCAGGAAGGGATGTCCCTGATGGACAAAAAGAAAGTTCCACTTCCGGGACTTGGTACAACGTTAAACCCAAGAAGGTATTGACATAATTATTGTGGTGTTTTATCTTATAGTTTTCACAAAGTGAAAATACTTTGAGGCAGCATGACATTATTTGTTTCTAATTATTTGAGTAGAGTGCCTGTTAACTCTAGCTGGATAAGCTAAGTGCATTTTCCACCATAAACAAACCTTTAACCTGTACTCTTTGTTGAGCTTTTTATTGCCGAGTGGTTAGAGTGCTAGACTTATAATCTGGAGGCTCAGAATTCAAGTCCCCTCATGACCGCCAGCTGGATTTGTTTTCAGTTGTCCGGCGTTCATACCCTCAGCCACGCTGGTAAAATGATCAACTGGCTCACCTCCTACCAGTTAAGATTCTTAACCTAATTGAACAATATGCATTTGTTTTATTATCCCTGAAAAGCTTCGTAAGGGGAGAGGATGATTAACTATTTATAACTTTTATTATTATTACTATCACTATCATATTAGGGCCTCGTGGGAGGTACTATATTTAGGAATGTTTGGGTGCCACTGGGACCCCAGAAGCCTTTAATAAGACTTTACCAGACCTAGCTAGTTTGGCTTAATGTTGTCACCCTATACTAGAATAAACCTCCAAAATCTCTCCCTATCTTAGAGTTGCCATTTTGCAGAAATTTCTAAGGTCGACGCTTTCTTAGCTGTTAAACTGAGTTGTAATTTTATATTTTTGAGTGTCAATTCTCAGTTTCCCCATTATAGACTAAAATCTTCAAGTTTCAAGTTGCAACCATTTTAGTTGCCATGGCGCCTAAAATTTTGAAGCTGGCGACTTGATTGGTAAAAAAGTCTCCCTAAACCAAAAGAACTGGTCACCAAATCCAAGCAAAAACTTTAACTTGGAGGGTTGATGACATTCCCCCCTACCTCGTGTATTAGGGTTTTTGCGAACAAACAGCTGAAGTCAGGATCTCTCTTGCAGAAGGCTATGCACAAACCAAATGTGCTAATCATTACACCTAACTTGAAGTATCTCACTTCCATTTCAGACCGTCTCGTGACCCAGTCGAGGATCAACTTGACAGTCTTACCAACATGCTACAAGACGCACTCAAAACAGGCAGCTATGAAAGTTTACCCAGTAAAAGCACTGAAGAAAGCCCGTCCAGCTCTCAGGGCAGTTTTATTGATCATGGTCCCACTGCAGAAGGTAATGAACCAACTCAGTTGCAGATGTTTAGGTCGCGGGTCAGAAGCGATTCAGGAAACGAGTCCCTGTTGTCTGATGTTAGCCCAACTCCGTCAGTAGAAGGTACACTGCTGTCTGTTGTAGTAACAACGTGGAAGAGACTTCTGCTTTAAACTGCAAATTTTTGCTCAATGAAATCTTGCTTTAAAACTGACTTACTGCTTAAGTTGTGCCTTTGCTTGCTATTATTAATAGAAAGAATAGGTCCAGTAGAGATCAGAATCATCACTTCTCTTGCATGTGCCTACAGGTCTTAAGCAGATGGGCAGTGAAAGAATGTCAAATTAAATACTGAATATCAGTGTTTACCAAGTCATGAATTTGATCATTATTTCAGTGATTTCTGAGTGCAAGGTCAACAGAAAGCAAAAGCCTACAAATGCAGACTTGCTGTAACTTTTTTTGGCTCTTTGGAAAGTAATGGTACCTAGATAAACACCCTGTGCTTTTTCGTCATGACTGTCCGTACTTAAATCTTATACAGTGGTCTACTGCATAGTGCATAAATTGTCATCTGTTAATAAGGCAGAGTTTGATTATGTTGCTCAGTTTTATTGCACCACTCCACAGGTAAACCTAAACACATTCCCGCCCCTCCCCCCAGAGCATCTAGTCATACAGTATCCAGAGAGTCATCTATAAAATACAGCCAGACACTACAACGAGATTCTCCCAGAGGAGCAAAACGAGACATCAGTCAGCAGTACCACACACAAACACTTCCATTGCCATCATCAAAGCCAAAGCGATCACTGACAGACAGCCCAACACCTTTGTCATCGAGTAGTTCCTCTACTTCTGGAAGCCATGCTTCTGTCAAATATGAAGGTTTGTTTATATGATGTTTGGATTGTGTTGAAGGCAGTGTTTGGTCTGATCTGGAAAAGCTGCTTCTGATTCGTTTCTATGCAATCATTGTTGTTTTTGTTGGTCCAAGCCATGATTTGTTGATGAATAAATCTTGAAAAATAAACGGCAATGGCTACAAAGTCTTCACTTAAAGTGCGAATTTGCGCTGCCTCAAAGTTTATATCGCACTTATTCCATCTCGTACAATTGATCAAATGTTGGTGAATTTTTCTGGAGTTGAATTCTAAAGGACTGTATCAAAAAGTTCAGGAAAAGAAAAGGAAAGTTGTTGTCTTGTGTTCTTGTCCTTGACAAAATGCGAAATTAGTACTGTTGTAGTAGTAGTTTTCATCTCTGCATTCCTGTGTGCACAATAAGCAGTGAATTCACACGCAAAGTAGTTATGAAGCTCAGATTTTGTGATCATGAATTCTGATGTAAATGTCTTCAAAGTATCATTTTGTCCATTTAATGAAATTTCAACTGCACCAAATACAGAGAAGTTATTGTAAAAAATCACTGGTCATTATGCATGCAGGAATGGAGATTTGAATTTGACACTAGCTGCAGCAACAGTGAAAGGATTCAACTTTTGAACAATAAAATTAATTCATTAATGGAATCCTGGAGAGTATGCTTGACCAGGCTGGACTATAAAATCCTATTCATATCAATTGTACATTGAATCAATACCAGTAGTTGCTACTTGCATATGTAGCCATTATTTTTGTCCCAGAACAACTAACAATAATCATGTATTAATTTTTACGCTTTATTATGTTGAAGGTAACTTGAAAGAGAGAAAGACGCTTGAGATCCGAGCATCCACACTCCGTGGGGAAATGAGGAAGTTAAGAGCTGAACTTAATCAACTAAAGCAGTTTCAGACCTTTCAAGCAGAGCAATTTGGAGAGATGATCAGAAATGCTAAAGAACAAATAGTGCATCACTTGACACAAACACAGAATGGTAAGAAGAGTAGCTTGTACATAGAGTAGACACATAATAAATATTGATTGAAAAGGAAAGAGGCACCCAGAAGATGAAGAAGATTGATGCACACCTTTCTGGCTGGTGCTTAATTTCCTCATTGCATTGCTTATTATCCATTGGCAACCCTTATTTTTTTGTTCTTGCTGTGGAGGTTATAACAAGAGTTAGCCCTTACTACTGATTTAATATAAAATTAAATCAATGGTTAACTAGTGTTGGTATATATGTTATTATTTTTAATGAATCTTAAGCTGTTATAAAACAAATGTAACAAATTTACTTAAAATAAACCAAAGGAACATTTCACTCATGTTACAGGCAAATCAGGGGAGGGCATTTGTCATGAGTGTGCTATAATTTATTCTTCAACAGAAATTAACCTAGAAACAGTGATCTCAAAATCTCCTGGAACTTTACTTTCTGAAAACATTTTAAAGGACTGTCAATAGATAAGTTACATATATCTGAAAATATAGCTATTATTTCAAAGGTAAAAAAAATGCTGTAGTGTCAAACAATGTCATGCAATGTCAATAACAACAAACACACCGTCTCACTTGCACAAGGAACCTGAATTGATATTGTTATTGGAAATTATTTATTGTGCACGCAACCTACAGATTAGTCAGTTATCTGCTAGCAGATAAGTAACTTATCTGTAGGTTACACTGATTTCCAAAATTAGCTGTAGGCTCTTAGCCAATGAGAACACAGATAGTAAGTACAACAAATGATAATTCAAATTAATGTGCTGTAATTCTTTTGTTATTTAATAATGTGAAAATGAGCATGAGCTGTTTCTCTGCAATCCCACACCTGAGTGTGTAATGACTGGATATGATTTCCAAACTGCTGCTGTGTCTCCTTTGTTTTCACCTCATGAAATGTTGATGAGTTTTAAGAAAGAGTTTTTGGAGGTCTGAGGAGTTTCTTCATTTGCATGCAGTGATGAATACATGTAGAACTTCGCAGACCTGATATCACTTGATTGATGATCAGGAATGAATCATAATCTTCTCTCTGAGCATGCATAACATGAAAATTTATATTAATATCTAACACCCAGTTGTAAACACCTTGGATGGTGGGCATGTGACTGTCATAATGAACACAATGTTTTAACCTGAAAGTTTCCTATTATTAGTGGCTGTCATGGCAACCAAATCCAAGGCCAACTCTATATTTCCCAATTGTTAGCCTGAGTAAACAGCTGACATTTCATGCTGCCACCACTGGCTTCTCTGTGAAATGACGTTGCGAAATGAATGCAGAAATTCCATACTGATCATGCAACACTACCCAGATCTGGTTTCCCACATGGCATGACCAATCAGAAGCACTACCCAGTTGTAGGAATTGGAGCGTCATCAGTATGGAATTTCTGCACTTGTTTGTCAGTTGTCATTTTGTGGGCAAACCAGTGGTGGCGTCGCGAAAGTTCGTTGTTTTCTCAGGCTACCCAATTGTCTCTTTATGCTTGGTTTGTTTGTTTTCCATCTCAGGCCACATGCCACCCTTTTTCCACTCCTTTCACATTTCTCCCAGTGATTTTCACCAGAAAGAAAAATTCTCTTGAGGGAATCATGTGGTTTGAAATACAAATTAAAAATATCGATCACAAAAGGTCTCTTGAAGTTAGAGGTACTTGGAAAAGTCCCCAGGGTCTCATTTACTGATGCTGGAATGTCCTTGGTTTCACAAGCAAGCACTTGTTGATAGAGTGATTTTAGTATGACCTTGAAATGGAAATGCACAAACAAAACAGAAACAACAAACAAAGAGAAATAGAGCGAATTAATTGGTTTATTGAACGGATACAAATGCACTTGGCTTTTAATTGGTTAAGCGATCGCTTGGGTGAAAAAACTTCATGCCCAAGAACTTTCTTGAAATCAGCCAATACTTTGCTTTGACATCATACTGCAACACGATTGGCCAATTGAGCAATGACTTCTCCATGTTAGGGTTTTCTTTAGGGGGAAAACGCAGATGGCATGTTTTGATCCTTTCATCGATTGGCTGATAAAACAAATAACGAAACTTAAATACTGAAACCTTTTTCCAAGGTCATTCAAAAATCACTCTAACTGTTGTACCTTAAAACTTGTATTAACCAGTCACCCTTGGGGGATGGCTTACTGACCCCTTAATACAGGTTTGACATACCTACATATGTAAGGGTTATTTAAGGAAATGGAGATCTGAGGTGAAAGAGGGAGATATCTATCCGACACCTTTTTGGCCTTGACCTGTTTCTATCTCCATGTGTACCAAAAGAAAAACAGTAAATAACCACTAAAACCCTTGCACAGTCTTTCTGTGGCACTAGTATGGTACATCTTGTTGAAGTGACCGTTTAGTACAGGTGAAGAGAGTAAGAAATAACTCTTTGGAGCCTCAGAAAAGGTGACCATGACCTCCTAATAGAGGGTGATCGCTTAATACAGGTTTGACTGTAATATTTTACTTGTAGGTCCTTCTGCAAAATCAGTGAAAGAGAAGGTACAGATGGAGGAGATGGCTTATGTAAAAACCAAGAATGATATTAACAGACATATAAGGTATGACACTGAAAATAACACTGCTGCTCTCTAGGTTAAACTATGCAAACTGCAACTTTCTTGTATCATTCATGGTAGCTGAAAGTCTGTGTTTGTTTACACATCAGTTCTCTGTTTATGATTTGCATGATTGATTTTCATACAGGTGTATTTATTATTAAAAATTTGTGAATGAAAAATTATGTATCAGCCAACATGCTTGAATTAAGACTGTGATCTAAGCAAAAGTTGAATATCATCAATGTCTGATGCTGACATATAATTTAAAAAACATACAGAATAAGATAATGTTATTTAGCAACATAGCCCAACAAAAATATCCTCAGGGGTTTTGCTTATCATGCAAGAAAAACTATGGACTGCAAGATAAAAAGCTTCTTGATTAAAAAACAAACTATGATGAGGATAGAGATTTTATTTGTGCTACATTTGTGTTACCATGAGTTGTGTAAGACATTTAAACTTGTATCAATACCTACGAAAGTATCAGTTGATCATGAGTTAAAAAGAATTACCAGCAAGAGTTATATATTTTAATTTTTAAGATCATTCAAAATGTCCTGTCACTTTTTCACCTGGAGATCAGTATCACTGGCACTGGGCCTGCTCTTAAACTTAAATTTCTAATTTTTATTTTCAGTGAGCTGGAGAGTGAAGTAGAGATGGTTCGTCTCGATGTTGTACAGAAAAGATGTATTGCCAATCCTGCGGAGGTTGACAGTCTTAACAGCCAGCTGTCAATCATAAGCCGTCAAGTGTCTGATCTCAAGGGTAAGTTCAAACTTCATTATTGCCATTCATCTGTACCATAAGCTAAATTGCACACTCTAAAGGGATTGAAAAGGTAACATCTTAGATGATAAGTAACTATTACGCATTGATGGCCAAGTGTGTTCAAGGTAAGGTGTCTGGCCCTAAGTTTTTGGTTTTGGTCCATAAAAAAAGAACGAGGTCAATATTCAGCCATCTTCACCAAACACCCTTTTTATACAAGATTTATGATATGGCCCAAAAGAATTTTTTATCGGACAAAAATTGAAAATTCCAAGTGGACAAGACGGACTCATCTTGCCAGCTCGCATAGTCCTCAGATAGCCACTTAGAAAACAGAATTTGCTTCCTCTCAGCCATGTGATGATAATGAATGTTACTCTTTTACTTCACTACCATGCGAAGATCATGAATGTCTGCTTTTGGCTCAGTGTGTGCAGGCCAACATTTTTCAAGCCACTTTTGATTATAACAGGGTTTGTACAGAGTCTTTAATTCTTGAAAAAGTCTTGAAATTTGCTCAAACCTGGAAAAAGTCTGGAAAATAGAGGTAAAGTCTTGAAAAAATGGTAAAAAAGTCTTGATTTTTTTTTTTGGCAGCTACCACAAGTGCTTTATAAGTGAAAGTTTTTTTGCGTTGGTCGAATCTTATTTAATATCACCCGTACGTTTGCAGCACTTCAGGAAAAAAACTTTGTTCCTGTGCTTTTAAGGTTTCAGTTGATTACCTATTAATTTGATAACCTTGGGTCTGGACAAAGAAATTATTGATTTGGAAAAAAGTCTGGAAAAAGTCTAGAATTTTGGATCCAAAAGTCTGTACGAACCCTGTTGTATCCTGTCAGGCCATTTTGGTTGTAGTTTTTATATCCTGAAATACTCAAGTTAAACTTATTTTAATTGCCTTTTTCAGGTGAGTTTGCGGAACTGCATGATAGAATGAAGTCAAACATGGCATCAGAATTGGAGATCATAGTTCAGGGAGACAAGTGAGTGTTCACTGAAATAAAATAATGTGATCAACATGAATTTTCTCCTGCCAATATTAAAACAATATCAAGAGAAAAGGTTATTAAAATATTTAAATGATCCACCTTTGATCTTTTGTCAAATTCTCTCAGCTAATTCTTTAAAGAAATTTATGGATAAAGGGCTGGAGAATTTGTTTGCAGATATTGGAGCTTACAAAAAAAAAAAACCTCAAAAAATCCACATAATTAATGCTTCTTTCTTTAGAATTTATATCAGAAGACACTTAATTTTTTTTAGAACTCTGAGGTAAAACAGTATATCTGCTATCTCTCTTCAGATTTCTGAAAGAAGAACCAAACAAACTGGAGAACTTAGTTAGCAGATGTAAGCATATCACAGGGACACTGTTTACATTACAAAAGTAAGTTGTTACTGTTTTAGCAGTCTGAATGTGCAGGAAAGAAGAATCATGAATCCTACGATTAAAGTGGTTTTTCAAATTTCCCAGGCTGATTGTGGCAGACCATTTCAGGCCTTTACTGAATTCATTCCAGAACATAGCCTTGGTATAGAACCGTGGTGTTGACAATCACGATAAATAAAAGTCCTTGCAATACTTTGAGGGGCATTTTTGTGTATGCAGAACATCGAATCATTGAATTTGGTCAGCTCTAGCTGGATATGAAAATTTAAAGAATGATCTACCTGGACGCTAATTAGCAAATTACAAAGTAAGGTCGAAAATGAAACGAAATTAACCCCTGGATAGTGAGTTAACCGTCCAACCCCCCCTACCCTCTGGAATTTCCTGGGCCTCTGACCCCCAACCCCACGGAATTTCCAATTCCCTCCGTGGTGGGGTATGGATATCTCCTAGAATTACACAGAAAATTGAATCAAGCCTGGATTAAGCCAGACAGAAACGGAGAAGTATTTTGAATGAATAATTGGGATGATCTGATTTATTTTTCAATCTTCAGATTAGTAACTGCTCAACAACAAATGAAGAGTGAAAGTGAAGCATCATTCAGCTCTTTAGAGGTTTGCTGTTGTTTTTTTTTCTTCGCATTTTTGAGGCCATTGCCAAGTTTCCCCTAGCCTGAGATCATGCGGTATCTCTATCATCCCTATATATGTCTCTCACGCCCTGCGCGCTCTTAAAGAAAAAAAAAGAAAAACGCCTGATCGCAGGTTAAGTTTTCCCAAGCCTCTACTAAGTGCGAAACCGTTGGTGTGAAAAGTTTTTTTCTTCTGGTGTAAATGAAACTCATTATCACAAGAAAGGTTTCGCACTTAGCCTCGTTTTGAAAGTGAGAGTTTTTGGAACTCGGAAATGGCCTATACCACCATTCAGTTCAGTTCAGTTCAGTTTATTCACACTTGTATACAATATTTACACTGTATATAGTAACGTAGAAGTAAAATAACAAATAACAGAGAAAAAAAAAGGAAAAGAAAGATATTAATGGCTTTGGTAGAAGTATTAGCCTGCGTGGCTGGCGGTATTGTGTGGGTGCGAGATTAAAGTTTTGGCGGCGGAGCCGTGTTCCAAAAAAAAGGAGTAGGGACGAGGCGGTTGAAATAGCCTGCGTGGCTGGCGGTATTGTGTGGGTGCGAGATTAAAGTTTTGGCGGCGGAGCCGTATTTCTCGCGGCTTCGCCGCTCGTGAGGGCTCCACCGTCAAATCTCACTCGACTATATTACAACGGCTCCGCCGCCAAATCTCACTCGACTACTACACAATACCGCCAGCTACGCAGGCTGTAGAATTATACGGTGGTCAGAGGCGCTTAGCTTTCGAGCTAAACACCGCTGCATCATGCATAGAAATACTTAATATGTGCTCCAGGTGCCATGGCAAATATGGACGATTATGTGAAACAGTCATTTATATGTAGTTAACTTTGACAGTTAAGCAGAATTCGTTTGTATTGTTCTTTAAACTGGTAGTTGCCGAGTGTTTTCAGAAAGAAGATAAAACAGGCAGCTTTTCCATTTCCATTTCCAAAATTTATAGCAGAAAATAAAATACAACTGAAGATTGTCATACTAGTCAATGGATTAATTTACGCTAGTGTTTTTGGTCATTATTTTGTGAGTCCTTGATCAATTACCACTAACAACAAGCTGCTTTTTGTTATTATTGTCTCCTGATAATTCCTATTTGTTTCTTTGTGTGTTTGTTCTTTCTTACAGGATGTTGACAAAGAAGTTATTGACAGTATAAGATCAGTACAAAGAGACTACATTACACAAAGGGGTTTAGAACATCATACAGAGGTACAGTTTATGACAAGCTGGCTTTATTACAAAGTCCCAAAGAGGCTTATGTTAAAGAGCCGGGCTATATCACTTACTAGTTTAGTGTTAGACAGGTTCAGCATCGCGTTTACGTCAAACGGCAAACGCAAATTTGTACCACGTGTCCAAGTTTCCCCTTTACCTGTACGTCGTTTACTGTTCATAATTATTTTCTACACATAAATGCTGGAGTAGTTTCACGCAATTTCTTATCCATAATAATCGTTTTGAGCTGCTCATTTTCTATTTTGAGAAATTCTCAACTTGAATCTGACGTTTGCCATTTACCGTTTACGTGAAGCTTTTAAAACTCTCTATTTTCATAACTCAACAGGAGCCATAGGAACATAGCCTCCAGAAAAGGCGTTATGTTTGGGCGTGGAGCGCGAGAAACTGGCCTTCTTTCGTCGCGCGTGTCTCACGTTATACGTCCGCCATGCGCTTGTCTTCGCTCGCCTGGAAGACTCGTTCAGATAGTGGCTGTCCTGCAGGCTGGCTTTTATAAGAAACTTTGTCGGAAATGGGCGCTTAGAACTTTCAGTGTTGTGGAAAGCACAAATAGTCAACAACTTTTTATTGACTATATTCTAACAGACCGTAGCAATGTCGTCATGTGTTCAAAACTTCGCAGTGAAACCTTGATCTCGCTTGTGGATCTACTTAAGTTTTGAATATTTGGACGCCATTTCCATGGTATTATACGAGGGTAGACAATAAAAATGTTTTTTGACAGGGTAGAACTTCTTATAGGCCTGTGTGCATTGCTCAATAGACCTCTTTAGCTTGTCTGTTTTGTTTTCACAATAAAAGGTCTGGGGGGAATTTGCCCCTTTGTCTTTTCATAAATTATGCGTATACAAGAACATGGTAGCAAGATTAAATATCTGAATCTCAAAAAACGGTGGTCCTGCAAGTAAGGTAGCCCATATACTGAACTTTTCTTTCATTGTTTGACAATACAAATGACCTTCTCTGTCAAGAAAGACTGTTGACTAAAAATCCAGAAATTTTGCTACCATGGTAACGTAACGTCACACTTCTCCTTTCTATAATACGAAATTTGTATGAAACAGTTCTCTATCTAATGTTATTAAAAAGTGAATCATTGGATAGTGAAATTCTAGAGCTCTGGTAAAGTCGGGAAGAATTCTTGATATTTTGTGGGCGTTTTTATTTAAACAATTATTCCACTCGCGCTTGTTGGATATGAGAAGACCATGGCCAACTCATATCCAACGCGCACTCGTGGAATGTTTGTTAATTATCACATTACCTACACTTTGAGAAACAAAGCGTACAAGCTAAACAGGTCTTTCCTAACTGTCTTTTTGCTCTTTTTGTATCCTAACACATTTCACCTTCTCTACTTTGAAATTAGTCTGCTACACAACCGTTTTTAGTGTCGTCACGCAACGCTCCTCCCCACTAAAACTGTTAGTGGGGAGGAGCGTTGCGTGACAACACTAAAAACGGCTCTGTAGCAGACTACTTTGAAATGAAAGTGGCATGAATGAATCACGAATGCTATTTTTTGATGCATTTTTTTCCTATTATATTTTCAAAGGAACCGAAATTACCAGTAAGAGGACGTCATAAGGTTCGTTTCTACGATGAAGTCACACAGTTACCATGAATCACTAACGATACAGAGTTTAAGTGCTGCAACTCTGAAGATGAGCCATCCGTTCAAGCCATGGGCAAGTGGTATTGTGACAGAACTCCCTGCAAAATGGGAAGGATCGCCTTGAGCTCAGTGTTCCGGCCTAAATGAAATCTCTAGGCAAAAGTTAGGGATCTAAATTATTTGCTTTTAGGGATGTCTTCCTTTAAGTTATCCGTTTTTGAAGTTCTAAGGTTAGGTTTTACGCTTTCTTCAAACCAAGTACTGTATACCATTTCTCATCGGTTATCTTTTCAAATGCAAATTTTCCAGACTTTTGGGCTAAATTTTCAACCCCCTTTCCTTTAATTAAAAATTAAGCCTTAAGAAGTCTTTCACGGACTTAAAAACCATCAAGGTTTGAATTTTGTAAAAATGGAGTGTTCTCCAAGTTCAGGATGGAAAACAGTGTTTTTCAGATATTTTTAACAATGATGCCTTCAAAAAACTCAGTCAGAATGTGTTTTTTAATTGACGACCTTTGTCAAATTATTTTGAAGAGCGGATGATCTTCAGTAACATTTGTGGAACCTTATTCAAGGATTTGCTTTACACGATTTCAAAAGGTTTTCTCCTTGTACTATAAGTTCGTCAAACTCGTTCAGCGCCGCTCTTCTTTGTATCCTTAGAAGGGAAATCCTTGGTACAAGGTAGTTAAAGAAAGGAAACATATCAGAACTTTCCATTTCCATTTTGATGCTCCGAGCACAAGTTAGCCGGTCGTTTATAAGAGGTATGACCCAGATATGTGAAGCGTTATTCGAAACTTTGTGGTGCACAAAAATGGTCTGCGTTCTCGAAACAAAGACAAGTGATTCTTAAAGTTAAAGCTCCTTTGATGTAATTATCTTTGTACAGAATGTTAAGAAAATATTGCTTCGGTAAGTTATTGTCAGTATGAGATTTTCCTGTTGAACAGAACACCAAGAAACTCAAGTTTCGGAATGATTAAGAGTTAATCTTAAATGAGGTCATCTTGCAGCCTCTTTTTTATTTCTTTTTTAATGTACAATTTCGAGAGAATTCCTATGTCTATGACTTGTAACCTTGAGACATGTCTACTTTTTATCAGAGATGTATTTAAATATTGTAAAGTTATTGTCCTAATAGTGACAATTTTATTTCGTTTATTGATTTGCTTATTACAACTTTTCATAGTCTTCGGAGAGTAGTATTTGGCTATAGGTGCTTATATGGGTGGGGTGGGAGGGTAAGAATTGTTATTTCTCAATGATTATTGCCTTTTCAAAAAATAAATGTCCCAATTATTGTGAACAAAGTATGTGCAGTAGTTTTTTATTTCTCTGTACCTCCGCGAGGGTTTGTAGATTCAAATTAAAAACAGACTAAAAATGGTACTTCATGTTGTGTTATCATCACATCAATGTTTACTTGTAGAATCATTTGTGATTTACAAATGTGATAAAATAGCGGTAGAGAAATCGAATCGCATCTAATTTGTAATTTGTATGTTTTCAAAGAATAATGATTTTTTTTCACGTGCGCAAGTAAGACTCTAGTTTAGATTGTTTTCTCTTAGTTTTTTCTGAGTAAATATGAAAAATTAAAACGTAACAAATAAAAATATTCATCTCACTTTATTCAATATTCGGGGTTTCTTGTGCCCGCTGAAAACTTTAACAATGGAGGGCATATTATTATTATTATTATTATTATTATTATTATTATTATTATTATTATTATTATTATTATTATTATTATTATTATTATTATTATTATTACTATTATTATGATCATGATTATGATTATTTTTATTGAACTGACACGAATGGTTTTCAAACTGAGTCAACAGACTGTTTCAGAAGACAAATCTCAAAGATATCGAACAGTACAATTTTACTTTCAACGTGTGGTAATGTTTATTGCGGGAATGCGGGGAATTCCCTGAGTTGCTATTTTAAAAATGTGTCCCTCAAAGGAAGTATTTGATTGCATCATCAGGAAATTTAATTACTTATTCACAATAACAAAACTTTTGTTGTTAAAACTGATTTACCCACCCACCCTTTCTTGTGCCATACTATTTGGGCATCGGTTCGTTTGCATGCAAATTCTCGGCTGTGCGGAGGGTTTAATTTACGATAAGTCCGTTAGTTTGTCTTAGAAGTTTGAAAGAGCTGGGTATAAAATTTAGTATTCTGTATTTTTTTTTTTTTGTTAGCGCCTTTGTGTTAGCAAAAATCACCGGTTGGAAAAAAAGGCCTTTTCGAGCCATTCTATTCATTTATTGAAAAAAAAAACAAAACGTTATTTTATTATTTAAGAGTTGATATTCTCTTCGTAGCTTGAAATTGAGAATGACGAGGTTTTTAATATGCTAATGAGGCATAAAATGTAAACAAATGTTTGCCTATATACTGCGGAAGACCAAAGCAGTATTTTGTTATTCGTAACAAATATAAACGTTTTATAAAAATCATTTATGGCTATGATGATCAAGAAAGTGAAATAACTTCAGTTAATGTTTATCTTGTAATAAGCCACAATTAAGACAATCTTATGTTTCTGTTGATCTTCAAAAAATGTTGACTTTGCTAAAGGTTAAGATAAATACCGTATTTATTCGATTAACCGCCCGGGCGCTTATTAAATTTTTGGACCTTGATAGTGGGCGCTTATTCGAGGCTGGGCGCTTGTTACATTTTTTACCATTTAAGCAAGTGTAGTATGTTTATTATGCAACAAAATAATAAATGGTAATAACAAAACGCGAAGATGTAACAAAGCAAGGTTTCTGTAAAATACTCCAACCTCGTTCCCAGGGCGCTTTTCCCTGGCTTTGGATGTTTCAAAGCGCGAGGAGACGATATAAGCATTTATTCAAATAAGCGCCCAGCCTTGATTAATCACCTTCCTCGAATAATCGCCTCGCTTTGGCGGAAAAATTTAAAATAGAGTAGAACCTCGATAACTCGAACTCGGATTACTCGAATTCCCCGCTAACGCGAAATAAATTTCCTTTCCCTTGATCCAAATTTCACTGAAATTTACCCCGATAACTCGAATTCCCCGCTAACGCGAACTTTTTTCTTCTTTTGAGAGTTCGAGATAATTGCTTCCCTCGAATAATCGTCCTCTTTTGGCGCGAAAAAATTAATAATCGCCCCCGGCCACTATTCGAGGAAATACGGTGTATGTCAGACGTAGAGGATACCATATTAGCTGTAGTGGTTTTGTGAAGGATAAGCTCAATTGTCAGCTGAATTGTGGATCGCCATTAGAGGTTTCTTACTGTGCTACAGTCACTTATCCACTGCATTTGTATTGTAGAAGTAGAATCGTGGTCAATTTTGACAACTCGAGCAAACTGCTACTCGTTATGCACAAAAGAGGAAACAAATCAAAAGACACGGTTAGAGAGGTTTTTAAACAGGCTGCTTTACTTTATAATGTCGCCAGTAGCCAAAATATTCAACAATTATTCCTCGAGCTCGAATGGGCTCTGAGTCAGCTATTGACTCGGAGGCCGTGAGAGCGAGAGGAATAATTGTTTTAGTAAAATCCAACTAGTTTGTAAAGAAGAATATCGAGACAAAACAACTTTAGCTAGTTAAAGCCAGACTTTAATCCTTTTTTGCCGCCAAAAAGCCGGCGCTTTTCGCTGCTAATGGGCTATAACATTTAGGTATTTTATTTATTTGCCACACGATTACGATAATTACAAAAAGATGCCAAAAAAAAAAATGTAGGAAGAGATGGCGAGGAGGCCTAAAAGAAACTATAGAGCTCATGTTAATTAGGCCTCCTCAATTACAATTTTTCGAAGATAGTATAAAAATTACGGCGACGGATACAACATAATATGAGGTGAAAAATTAAACTAATCAATATTACGGAAGTTTACAAATGTTGAATATTAAAAGGCTTTTTCCCAAAATTTTTGTTGGAGTATACTAATAATTATTACAAATAAATGCCTTAAGTGCTCTTTTAAAGGAGAAAGGTGAGGAAGCGTTGATGATGTTGGTGTTTAAGGTGTTGTAAAATTTAGGTCCTTGATAAAAAACGGAAAATTGTTTGGTTCGAGTACGACAGAAAGGCAGACGAAATTTACACGAGTTTCTTGTATTATACGAATGAATTTGACTTTGTAAGGTAAATTTACAATGAAATTTTAAAGGTAGAGTATGGTTTTGATAGGAGTACATGAATAAGCCTAGTTGTATTAAGTATATATCATGAAATTTTAAGATACCAAGATTTTGAAAGATTGGATCAGTATGTGCAT